CCCCAAAACCCCAAAACCCCAAAACCCCATTTGTGAATTATAAGATTGAGAAAGTTGGAAATATAATGACGGAAGGCTCTGTTGTAAATATCTCAGCCATACATACTCCTTTGAAACTATGCTAAAACGTATTAGAAATCCAAGAAAAAGATGTCAGCAACATGAGAGAGTGTAATAAAGACATTTAGCCCACTCCAGTCAGAAATTTGTTTGTTTCAAAATCTTGAACATGAAGTTTATTTTGAAGGGTTAACCCTGAACCATCTGGATATAATTAAGCAAACCTCTTTGGTTTCATATTAATTCTTTCCTTGTGTGAAAATAACCTAAAAGTAGGAAATGGGCTCAAATTGCTAACAGAGGCCACAGTTTAAGACTAGGGATGCTGCTAACTCTAGATTATGGCACTCGTGAGTTGCTGAGGAATGAGTTTATGATAACCATTATGCTCTTTATCTAAGTTCTAAGGTTTTGGCGAAGTTTAAAAGAGAAGTATCATCTGGGCTGATTCAATAAAATAGCGCCTTAACTTACTTTTGCTGAAATAAAGGTGAGTTATTAAGATTCATCCTAGTCCTGAAGTCCAAAAGACTGTCGAAGTGGTTCATCAGTTCCCCACTTATTATACGCTTGAGTGCGTATTGAAGAGGCGATCATTTGTCTCTTACCTCAATGGAGTCAAAAACTTGCATATATTTATCAAGAAGACATCAGGATCTTCAATGTCCATCCGGAAATATTGCATAAAAACATCAGAGCTTAAAGCAACAGGAAAAATATTCTGTTAATTGGTTTGCTTCAGTATGCCCAAGAAGGCTACTTTTTGCTATAGTCATAGGATTAGGTACTCTAAATCTCAATAAGACAAATATGTAGAGGATCCGAATCAATTATTAAAGCCGAGGACAGACTTCATATTGCTCAAATTGACAATGGCTTCCTCAATAAACGAGTCGAAGTTAACTTTTACAAGCCTCACAGATCCCAAAAGAAGTGTTAATAAAAGTTCATGAAGGTCTTGCCTTACTAAAAGTTAAACCGAAATGTCGATAATGGTTAGGTTAGGATCTCTAATAGGTTTGATTATTTCCAAGTATGAGCAATTTATTTTACCATCCAGCTTACCCTTTTGAGAGGGTTTGCTCATTCTAAATATCTGAAATTTTATATAATGTACACTGCCGTGAAGCATATCATAATAAAATGTGTTGACAAGAAATTTTTAAATGTAGTATAGCAAAAATAACAAAGTTCGAATGAAGATCTTCCGTAACCTCACCACATCGATCAAGTCTGCTAATATTTCAGGAAGGTTTATTCCTAATTGTTGGGGACTCCATAGCTTATATCATCAGTTCGAAATAAGAAGATGAAGGTTTCATTTTCAGCATTTATCTATTTTTAAAAACGAGGAGTTCTTCATTAGCCCCTTTGTGGTAATTTCTAAGCACATGATCAATCATCAAGCTCGAGGGCTTAAAGAGAGGCCACACTAACTAAATTTAGATACAGAATGATCTTGCCTCGCTATCCGGATGCTCTGTTGTTTTGATGGCTTTAAACAGTTGCTCTTGAAGTTGCAAGTTGAGCGAGATCAGCTCCCAGAGAATATAAGCAGTGTTTAAATTAATTAAATACAAATTGAAGGTTAATATCATCATTTTCAGGCATTATCAAAATTATTATTCAGAGTAGTGCTAAATTTGTTGTAACTATACTCCAAAAGTCTCATTTGTATCGCTGAGATCAAGTCCTTATATCATGAACAAGAATCTCATAATTATTACTGAGTCCTTAATAACAGAGATTCTCTCTTGCTCTGAAGGAGAGTTTTGTGAGGACACCAGAAGTTCTTCCCACTTTTTATTTCTCAAATGAGCAATTGATATAATTACCACGGTGGACTCTAGAAATTTTATAACCTTCAACTAAAAATAACTCTACTGCGCTATAGGTTTGGTTATCAAAATGCTTTCTTTGGACTAGCTTCGAAGTCAAAAGCTAGCGGACTCAATTTTTAGAGAGGAATCGATACTCCTTCTTCATTAAGCGGATGGGTGGGAGGACAAGTTCAGAATACCTCAATTTTGAGCCATTTCTCTCTTTGTTCCTTTATGATTTTCTTAGCAATAACAGAAATTTTTAGCATGGTGATAGGTCTCTGGGTTCAAAATTATAGATATCCTTGTTGTCAACTTACTTTAGTCAACTTATTTTTCATCCCATTAAGTCTTTGGTTCTAATGAGCATATTATGCTCCCCTTGATGTCTTCTTAAATTTCAAGGGGTGGTAACATATTGAGGTGTCCTAACTTGAGCTGTATTCTTATACTTCCTGAGTTACCTCTACTCCACCGTCACATCGGTAGGTTTCGCTCACCAAGATAAGTCTGAATCAATGTAATATCAAGCTTATCGTATGAGGAGATATTTCTAAGTATATCTAACACCCGTAAATAGTAATGCTTCTCAGAAGCTGAACTCATCTTTTTCCTATCACAAGGCTCATAAAATACGTTCATAGTCAACTTTAATGGATATTCGAGTTTTATAGTACCCTTTTTCAAACTTTGCAAAGTGTAGAGAGTCCTCGTTTAAAAGTGCTAAATTATTCTGGTTTACATTTAGGTCCCCCTTACGATAAGGAAGCCATATTTAAACATTACTCTGAACACATTGGTGCAGAACTGTGATAAACTAAGCAAGTTCCTCACCTTTGTGATAGAATCTGCTCTTTATTCTCTCCCGAAGAAGACTTAAATGGGCCTGATTCTGAGATTTGAGTAATATTTTTAAGCATAACAGCATACTTTTCCTTTAGAATCTGGCAATATTCGTAAAGTACAAACACCTTGCTTAATAAATTTTATGAAAGCAAAGAGTGGCAGAGGCAGTGCACAAAGTAAGTCACCAACCAGAGTTGTCACACCAAATGGTGTCAAGAGAGTTATAAAGTTTGGTGAAGAAGTACCCTCTAAAGTTCATCTGGACGGTGGAAGCGACTGCTATATTTCGTGAACATCAATAGAAGTCCTGAGTCAATTCATAGCTCTTGTTCTACAAGTCTAAGCTTTGATCTAAATTCTAAAATTTGAAATAAAACTCTAGTAATACTTAAAATCCTCGTAATATATTTCACCTTCTTTTAACTTTAGAAGTCCTTGAATTTTTCAAAGCATGGCAAATGAAAGGGATTAATCATAAAATAGGACGGATGTTTTAAGGTTTGGGAGATCCTTGCTATCGAAAAGTGTTGAAGATCCTAATTCCAAAGACTTAGTCCTCATGACTTCAAAGGAACCTATTCCAATAAATGCTATCAGATATTCAGAGAGCCCATAGCGGCTGAAGGACTAGGCTCTACACAGAAATATCGAAGTAAGTATTTCTCCAATGTTCTTTGCTTACCAGCAAGAATTTGGAAGATCTCTGAGGTTTATATTATGACAGTTATAGATTAGCATCCACTCCAGAAACTACTTAATGACCAAAATCTGTAAGGAAATATATAATAATTAAAAATATGAACAACAATAGAGGATTGCTTTTTAGTGGGAATGGTCCAACCCAAGAAATACAAGTGATGTATGTCTCTGAGCCACCACTGTTATCTCAAAGTTCTTGGCCTGACCTGAACCAATTGATGCAAGCTTACTGCAGCTGTGAAGAAGAGCTGAAACGTCATATCTATGAACAGCAATGTAATTCATTTGAAAATATAAATCAGGTTGACACTCAGGAAGAAATAAAAGAAAGAATCGAAATATCTACATCCACAAGAGGTCGTAGAGCTCCCAGAGTCTCACCTGAGCACAGAACTGCCTTCCTCAGATCCAGATATGCCATCCTTCACAGACAACTCGATGCTGTTGATGACCCAGCTCGTACTATTGTGAGGGGGAGACGCAAAGTTGCCCGCTCTCTGAACAGACAAGCCAGCACCAGAAGGTCTCGCTTCACCGGAGTGTTCAAGAACCACTCGAAGTGGCAGGCCCTCATCGACATCTTTGACAGGAAGACCTACATCCACTCGTACATGACCGAGCAAGAAGCGGCCAGAGCCTACGACTTGATGTCGCTGGTGTTGAAGGGACTGGCAGGCCTCACCAACTTCGATTACTCGAAGACAGACATGTTGGATTTGATCTCAAACCATTCAAACATAATTGACAAGTTTTGCTCATAATAATTCAACACTCTAACACTATCTCGGGGTTTTGGGGTTTTGGGGTTTTGGGG